AGGGAAGCCAGAAAATGATGGGTACCATGGAGGTACAATGAGGGGTGAATGGAAGAGGACCGTTAAGGTCGGGACACTCAGCCAATCTTAGAACAAGAATCTAGCTCCCCTCCCCCCCAATGGTGCCATATTAAGGTGTGAGAGATGTGGAGGAGGGTGTCAGGAAAGGAAAGTTGGGGAAAGCAGACGGAGAGAAAGGGGACAGGAAGTTTAGAGAAAACAGGAATGTCCAGGATGAGAGAAGACGATGAGGGTTGCAGGCTGGAGGGCACAGAATGGAGGAGGGTTCCTATAGACAAGGAAGGGATACCTGCTAGTGCTCTGAGCCTGAATATCCTTCCCAGGACAGAGAAAGCATTCCCTGACACCGAGCTGGCTGAGTATACACGTTTCATCAGGAAGGCTCTGGGGCGCACTCGGGGCAGGGAGCTGGTGCCGTCTTTGGCGGAGATCTCAGCTCTCAGCCAGCGTCAGGAGCTTCTATGTACTGTGCACTGTCCAGGAGCAGGAGCCTGCAGCGTTGCCATTGACTCACACACTACTGCTTCGGAGGTGAGTGTTGGGACAGCGTTCCAAGATTATGGACACTGTAAACCCCTTAGCCCAACGGGAAGCAGCTAGTTTAAGTTATACAGTCATAAAGTGCCAGATTGGAAGGAACGTTAGAGGTCATCTAGACTAAGAGTTCTAAACCTGCCCCCCCCCACCAGGTCAGCTGAATAGATTTTTAAGATTTTGTTTCTACCACTGTAGGGCAGGACTCTCTCTTCTCAGTTTCTGTGTATGTGTCTCTCTATCTGTCTCTTTGTCTCTGTCTGAAAAAATGGAGGGAATTTGTACTAAATTACTTTTGAGGTCCTTTCCAGGTATAAATCTATGAACCTATGGCTTTTCACATCACTATTTCCCCTTGACAGTAAGGTGACCCTAGGACTTCTGATCTCTGAGATTATGGCAGTTAGGTGAAGTGAAAGAGAAGTTATGTCTCTGCCTCTTAAGTAATTTGTGTGACCCAAGTCTAGTCACTTAACTTTCCTGGGGTCTCAGTTTATTAAGGGTAAGACATTCGCCCACCCCTCTTCGCCTGCCTTACCCCCCACCAGGTGACTCGGGAGCTCGTGGGGAGGCTGGGCTTGGCTCGGAGCCGAAACGCGTTCGCGCTCTACGAGCAGATGGGTTCCCAGGAGCGGGCCCTGGCAGGAGGGGCCCTCGTGGCTGACGTGCTCACCAGGTTTGAGAAGTAAATGTCCAGTGCTTATTCTAGCTTTTGCCTTTTCCAGTCCTCTCCCCTCCGCCCAATCACAACCTTCTCTTCCCCACCCCCGCCTTCCGGTGGACCACACCCTTCTCGAAACCACTCCTTCAATTTCACATTGACCCCACCCCCTTCCATTTCAGGCTCCTCCCCTAGCCCTACTCCTGGCTTTGTTCCTTCTAGAGGCTGGGGTCGTCGGGACTCCTCCTCCTAAGCCCTCGGTTATCTGTTTCTCTGCTTCGCAGTTTGACTGCAGAGGAGGCAGAATCTTCAGATTCGGGCTGGAGGCTGTGTTTGCGTCTACACGGACCTCTGCATCCTGAGGGGCTGCCTCCAGACGGGCATGAACTACCTTTCCTATTTGAGCAGGTGTGGATCCCTGAATATTGGCATCGTTCGCGTGAGCGCGCGCGCGGGCGCGGACACACACACACACACACACACCCACCACTACAAACACACCAATAAATCCTTTCCTAAGTTGCCCTTTAGCTGGCTGTCCATTATGCCCAAGGGTCACTCCTGCTATGCTTTGCTTCTTGGGCTCCCTCTGCCTCCTAGATGCCCCGTTATTCCCCCATCCCCAAACTGTCTTCACCATCCCCTCACGGGTGTCACCTCTACAGGCCCACGCTCTGCTGTTGCGGGGCCGGCCGCCCCCGCCCGAGGACACGCTGAGGGCCTTGGCCGCCCTGCGCCTACAAAGTCTACACCGTGACTTCTCACCTCTGGCTCCTCTTCCTCGTCTAGACCGCCTGCTGCCCGCTTCAGCCCTCACCCGAGAGACCCCACCCTGCCCAGCCCCTAGAGCTCCTCCTACCGCCGCCCTGCTGGCCGGGGCGCTCTGGAGTCCAGGCTTAGCCAAGAGGAGGGCAGAGAGGGCCAGGCGTGGGGGCGCGGTCCGGAGTGGGGGTCCCGGGGCCCGCGATGGGGGAGGCGCTGGGGCTGCTGCGGCTGTCCTGGGAGGGTGGAAGCAGCTTCGAGGAATGGGCCAGGCCGAGGCGATGGCGACCTACTTGGCTTTAGCTGCACAGTGTCCAGGTTTCGGTGCTGCCCGGTATGACGTCCTGGAACTGAGCACGGTGAGAAGAGAGGGCGGAGAAAACACCTGAAGTTCACCCAGATCTCTTCTACTTTTTTCACGATTCCCGCTTTCCCAACGGAGTCCACGGGTGCCCAGTATCTGCTTTCTAGGGATGCCCTTTCCTTCATAAAAGGCTGGAGGACGAAGAAAAAGTCCTCTGTCCCCAGAATACTACTGTCCTTGGGTACCCACCCTCCTATAGGAGCCTTCTCAATTTGGATGGGGATTACTTCCTCCTCAGATCTGTCACCTTCTAAACACAGCCATTTTCCTGCTCCTTCCCCGACTGAAGAGTTCCCTCCTCGACTTTACTCCTTTCTTTTGTCCACCAGGAGACAGGGGGTGGTGTCCCACAGCAGCTCTGCCTTGGTGTGGGGGCCAAGACCATGTCCCTATCTCGACCAGGAGAGACTGAGCCCATCCACAGTGTCAGCTATGGTCATGTGGCTGCCTGCCAGCTAACTGGGCCACACACTCTGACACTAAAGGTTGGGGACAGCCAGCTGCTCCTACAGAGCCCCCAGGTAAACTGAAGTGGAAGGATAAAAGGGGTGTAAAGGTAGCCAAGATAGGAGTACAGAAAGATGAGAGTGATGACCTACCTAGATGTTTAATGGCCTTCACTTTCTGATTTTCTCAAGGTGGAAGAGATCGTGCACCTAGTGAATGCCTACCTGGCTAGCTCCACTCCTGACAGATCCTGCAACGTTGTCACCCCAATAGAGCTGCCAACCATACCTTCCCCTGTCAGCCAGAATCCAGGCCTTGATGACCACCAAGTATAATCTGGCTGTTTTGGTCGTCAGCAGCTGCGAGACTCGGTGCAGTGGTGGAATCGTGGCTTGCCCACACTTGAACATCTATCACAAGTACCTAGGTTTTGGACTGCTCTGGAATTTTGAGAACCACTGACTCACCCTACCACACACAGTAGCCCTGCAGGGACAGGGCCCCCACTTGTCATCTCCTTCCCCTGCACCCAGGGGCCAGGATTTTGACAGGCACGGACAATTTTCTAGTATGTTTCTTAATTTATTTGTAGAAGAAAAGAAAAAAATCTTTATTTACACAAAATCTTCCTATGAGAGTGATGTCAGCAGCCCATGACTACCTTAGCATAAGCTGTGGCCCACAGTTACTCCCTTGGGATCAGGCCCCACCTCCCACCCCCATGTTCTGGGCTTTTGCCAGGAGCCTGGACACCACTGGGACACCACCCATCTTGACCTTCTGACTTTAACTGGGACAACTCAAGATGCTGCTCAAGGGTAGTGGGTGGAGCAATAGGGTAGTAACAGAAGCTGATAATTACTTCCTCTTCCCTTCTCCTAGTGGTGTGGGGGCGACATTTTGGCGTCCCTCAGGCTGGAGGGAGGCTGAGTCACTAGCATTGACACTTTCAAATTCCTGTACAGGTGTCCGGTCTCTGCCCACACCCTGTGATCATGACTAGCATCCCTGCTGGTCCATCTCTAGCACCTCTGATCTCTCCTTATTAGAAAGAAGGTTGGGGCAGTACTAACACCATATGCTGAAGGGAAGCACTCTAGATTGGGAAGGAGTGTCAAAGCCATGGATGGGGACACAGTGGGTAGCCCCATCAATGAAAGGAAGTCTGCTTAGTATGTGGTCAGCCTTTCTCCCTTTGTTGTTCAGTTGTGTTCAAGTCTTCATGGTGCCATTTGGGGTTTTCTTGGCAAAGGTACTGGAGTGGCTTGCCATTTCCTTTTCTAGCTCATTTGACAAATGAAGAAATTGAGGCAGATTTAAATGACTTGCCCGGGGTCATAAAGCTAGTAAATGTCTGAGGCCAGATTTGGCCAGTCTTCCTGACTCCAGGCCTGGCACTCTATGCACTGTGCATACGCCTGTCCCTTTCTTCCCTTACTCCTTGCTAGGCCAAAGGCAGGAGTCTTTAGAAAGGAGGGAGATACCCTAGTCTGTTTGCTTGCCTCAAGTTTGAAGATCAAATAGAGGTGGGCTCAGCTGGCTGCCTTTTACTTAACCCATTCTCCCTTACTCCCATGTTGCCCACATCCTTGTCCCCACAGAATCAATGGCTTATAGAATTTCTAGTTAGAGTGAACCTTGAGAACTTGACACATAAAGATCAATTAAAAGAAGTCTGAGGATGTGGAGCCTGGAGAAGAAACTGCAAGGTTAGGGAGAGTTTTGGGTACTTGAAAGGCTTTCTTATAAAAGAAGGATTAAATTTGTTCTGTTTGACCCCAGAAGGTACAAATAGGAGTAGAGGATAGAAACTGCAGAGGCAAATTAGGTTTGACATCAAATAAAACTTCCTAACAATTGTAGCTATCCAAAAGTGGAATGGGTCATATCAAAAGGCAGGGCATTCCTCCCATTAGAAGTCTTCAGCCAAAGGCTGGATGAGTATTTGTTGGGATTCTTGTTTGAAGGCTGGACTAGATGTCAATGGAGCTGCCCTCAATCTCTTAAAAAAAAATTCTAGGCTTGGTCAAGGCTAGTTCTATGTTATATATAAGGGGAAACTGAGGCTTAGAAAAGGAGAGGAACTTGCCCAACCTCACCCAGAGTTTAGATTCAAATAGTGACCTGAATACAAACCCAATGCTTATCCATGACAGATAAGACAGGACCCAAAGACCCCTCCTGCAAAGCCCATGGATGGACACCTCATAGTTCTCATTTAGTGTTTTATTGGAGAGGGTCAACACAGAAAGAGACTACATAATTGTACTGTTAGGTTTTTCTCATGTTCATCTTTAAGGGGGAAGGGTGTGGTGAATGGAGAAAGCTGATGTGTCCATGCTGGAGCTCAAGATCTCTGAGAGCATCAAAGGGAGACTAGATCACAATGACACAAATGCTAAAATCTGTGAAATGTAGGGGCTTCTGTCCTCGAACAGTCAGGAAGTCACTGCTCCTGGGTACCCCAGGAGATGTAGTCGGGCCTGGTGGCAGCATGATACTCGTCAATGAGCTGCTGCACAATCTCCCTCGATGTGTCCAGCTCATCGAAGTTCTCCTTGAAGATGTCCTCCTTTCGGAACTGCTCCAGGAAGGCCTCTCGCTTCCGAAGTTTATCATACTGGTGGCATGTGCTCTCAAACAGCTGGGATAGGAAGTGGTAGAGAAAGGGGCATAGAGAGATAAGTGGACAGCATGATCTGGGAGGTTGGTGAGGATGGAACTGAAGTTATTTTGTTCTCCCTTCTCCCATAATTTAGGAAGCAGTACCTGACACATTCAGGGTGAGGGAGGGGAGGGGAGAAGGGCAGCTTGAAACAGACTCATGGGAGGAAACACGGGTATGGGCAGGGGGAGAGGGCTAGATTAGACTCACAGAGCTGATGCTGGTGTGGTTGGCCATCATGAGTCCACTGACTCGATGGGCAGATGGCAGATAAGGTGACTTCCGAGATAGTGCCACCTGGATGCTTGCTGGGCCCCAAGGGATAAAGTTGGCTAACTTTCGTTCCCGGATCCTTTGTAGGCTTTTGTGTACCTAAGGCATAAATGGGGGAGAATCAAGGTATGAGGGAGGTACTTTCAACTGCTGGTCTCAGCCCTTGAATATCCCAAAGGTCCTGAGACTCTTCCTTAACTCTATGCAGTATCAGGTTGGGGGGGGGGGTTTAGGTGGGGGAAATTACCCACCTGGGTGGGGTCCACCTCTCCCTGGATGATGTTGAGGATGGCAATGTAGCAGTGGTTGGTCTGGCGATCCCTGCCAGTGGACACCATCACATTCTTGGGCTGTAGCAGCCTACGCATCACATCTAGCACTGTTGTCTTCCTCACACTGGCCACCTGAAAGATGAGGCTATAAGGGACCATCCTAGGAAAACATGGGGCTGGCCAGGAAAAGTCTAGTACAGTCTGTACAAAGCTACATACAGAGTTCCTGTGACCTGCCCCAACCCTCTCCCCCCCAGGCCCAGCCCAGAATACATATCTAGTGGTAGGAGACCCAGACCTCGGAATTGGGAATGTGGACTCAATCAGAACCCAATGTCTTCAATTTGTCTAGTGGCTCAGTATTAGTGAATAATATCAGAGGCAGCTACGTATCATAGCAGATAGAACATTGGACCTGGTGTCAGGAAGACCTGGGTTCAAATTAAGCTTCCGTCACTTACTAGCTGAGTGACCCATGGCAAGTCATTTAACCTCTCTTTCTCAACTGTAAAATTGGGATAATAATAGTACCTACCTCCCAGGGTTGTAAGAATCAAATGAGATATTTATAAAGTATTTAGCACAGATCCTTAATAAGTGCCGATTTCCTTCCTAATAATACTGTAGGATAATAGATTTAGAGTTGAAATCTTCACTTTACAGCTGAGAAAACTGGGGCCCATTATGGTTAAAAGACTTGCCCAATATTACACAGATACTAAGTAACAGAGGCAAGATTTGAACCCAAGTGTTTTTTCTACTGTACCTCGGATATCCAGGGGACAGCCATCTACTGGGGCTAGACTACCTACGGTTGGCGCTGTAGGCCAGGAATGGGGGTCAGGCATATGGAAAAGATTCAGTTCTCCTCAGCCCAAGGTCTGAGACTCAAAAACTAGAAGGGAAAAGACAAACTCCAGTGTAGCCCTTCTGCCTGCCAAGAAGGAAAAAGGTGGAAGGGATGGGAAGAGAGAGAGACAGAGAATCACACACTTTATTCCAAGCTTTGAGCCCTTAGTCTCTGGGGTCTGCTCCCAGAGGCAGGGGTCAGGGCACACAGCAGGGAGAACAGCAGGGGTCAGGCCCATTCAATCTCTGCCTACTGGGCAATAATCCTGACCTAGGTGGGGAGGATGGGATCTAGAGGGGAAGGGGACTCAAGAGCAAGGGCAACTGCTTACAGATTGGTCAGTGGTGAGTGGGGTGTAGCCAGTCATGAGGAAGTGGAGCCTGGGTGTGGGGATAAGGGAGGCGATGAGGCCGATGAGGTCATTATTCATGTAGCCAGGGTAGCGGAGGGTGGTGGTGCTGGCCGACATGATGGTGGACACCTGTGGCCATAGACAAGGAAGGAAGGAAGGAAGGAAGGAAGGAAGGAAGGAAGGAAGGAAGGAAGGAAGGAAGGAAGGAAGGAAGGAAGGAAGGAAGGAAGGAAGGAAGGAAGGAAGGAAGGAGAGAGGAAGAGAAGGAGAGAGGGAGGGAGGGAGGGAAGGAAGGAAGGAAGGAGGGAGGGAAGAAGGGAGAGAGGGAAGGAAGGAGAGAAGGAAGGAGGGAAGGAAGGAGGGAAGGAAGGAGAGAGGGAAGGAAGGAAGGAGGGAAGGAAGGAGGGAAGGAAGGAAGGAAGGAGGGAAGGAAGGAAGGAGGGAAGGAAGGAAGGAGAGAGGGAAGGAAGGAAGGAAGAATTGATTAAGCATTTACTAGGTACCAGGCACTCTACTAAGTGCAGGGGGTGGGGGAAAGGAGGGAGCAAAAATTAAAATAGTCCCTGCCTTCAGGGAGCTTACATTCTAAAGGGGGAAGACAACACCAAAGTCAGCTGAAGGGGAGGTGGAGCAGTTCATGGTTTTGATGTCTGGAAAGTCAGAAGCAGATCCTCCAGAGAAATGGAAAGTTGCAGCACTGGCCACAAACCATAAAGGACCCTAGCATCATCCCACAACTTGGAACAATTGAAACCAAGCAGATTTATGTAGGTGGGTGGAGGAGAGGGCTCACCAGCTGGTTGATCTGGGAGAAGGATGGGTTCTGGATGTGAAGTCTGTCTGTAGCAATTCGATTCAGGGCTGTGTTGTCCAGAACCACCTGAGGAGGGGTGGAGATCAAAGGAAAGTCAGCTTTGCTTGAAGAATGGGCTAAATCTCCCCAACTTGCCAGAAAACATGTTGATCTCTTCCACAGTGGCAATGGAGAAGGCTCACTGAAAACTATCATTTCTTCAGTAGTATCCAACTCTTCATGACTCCATTTGGGTTCTTCTTGGCAAAAGTACTGGAATGCTTTACCATTTTCTTCTCCAGATCATTTTACAGATGAGGAAACTGAGGCAAACAGAGTTAAGTGACTTGCCCAGGGTCACACAGCTCGTAAAAGTCTGAGGCTGGATTTGAACTCAGGAAGTTGAGTGTTCCTGACTCCAGGTCCAGTGCTCTATCCACTGGATATATACTTGTATATATCCTTTACTGTTGCATTATGCCTCCCACATGAGATTTTAAGCTTTTTATGGGCAAGGGGAGTGAGGGTGGGGATTTGAATCTTATACTTCTACCCCATCCTGCTCCCAGAATGTCCAAGATGCTAAGCATTCAGTGAGTGCTCAATAAATATTTTTTGATTCAGTGACTGAGGGGTGGGCAGCTGACTCAGTAGATAGGATAAATTGATTTTGTATAGGCATGGGAGGGCCCTGGCTTCTCTCCCCCCAGGCTCACCACACAATCTGCATTCTGTGTCAGTCTCTTGAGGGTTAGCAGTGAGTTATAGGGCTGCACGACCACATCACTCATCTCATCCTGATTGGGAAATACCGAGTATGTCTGCACCAGCTTCTTGGGGTATCTGGGAGGTAGTGGTGCAGAACAGACTTAATACAGATGTATCTACATATTAAGAGGAGAGGGGTTAAGGGAGGGCAGAAATAAGTGCTCCAAAACCCTGGAAAAGCGGAGAAGAAATCACCCACCCCTCCTAGAGAGTCTGTTCTCAGGGAATTCCTGGGGTACAGCCCAACCTTCTGTTGTTAACCTCAACTCCCCTACCAGGAAAGGGGAGAGATATTCCTTTATTCCAAGATAAAGCTGGCATGTGCCAGCCCCCATGGTCACTCAATGAAAAAGGGGTTTGGTTGTCTCTCCACCAAGCTACCCAGAAAAGGACAAGATGCATCCTTACATATACTCACCTGTCATTCAGCCTTTCTAGGAGGTAAGAGCCCAAACCAGAGCCAGTTCCACCAGCAATGGAGTGACACAGCACAAAACCCTGGATGCAGAGGGAGGGGAGAGATGATCATCTTCTGTGTAAAAAATGAAGGGGACCCCTAAATCATGGTCCTTCCCAAAGCTTCTTGGCCTCATGCCCAAACACAATACTGTTTCTAGAAGGCATCAGCACCTCAGGAACATAGCCCTGTTTCTTTTTCTTTCTTTCTTTCTTTTTTTTTGGCTAGGCAATGGGGTTAAGTGACTTGCTCAGGATCACACAGCTAGTGTTATGTGTCTGAGGCCAGATTTGAACTCAGGTCTTCCTGAATCCAGGGCTGGTGCTCTATCCACTGCACCACCTAGCTGCCCCCCTGTTTCTAACCCTACCCAGTGAAGTAGGAAAGGTTTAGAGAATCAAAAAAGTTTCTGGGGGTCTCAAGAAAGACCCTTCGAGTCAAGAGATGATACCATTGGGTGTTGCCCTTTCCTCCCAAGCATATCATGTTGTTATGCTTCTACAAGGTTCTTTTGGGGTCCTTACCTCTAGGCTGTCACTGCCATCTGCCTCCCGGTCTATGATATCAAAGATGTCTTCATGAATCTTCTCCCCCTGTAGGGACATGGGGAAGGTCAAAGGCTTTCATTCACAGTATCCATCTTCAATTTCTCCTCACAGTACACAGAGCTCTTTCTTCAGACACAATTGATTTCCTTGTAACAAAAGCCTGAGCTGTTGATCCCAAGCAGGTGATGTTTATTGCAGAAAACTCCACCTTAGTCCCGGTCCCTCACACAGTGCTTCCATAGTACTATGTTTTCTGTAGGTCCAGCCAAACTCTCATTTGGTTTTTAAGTCCATCTGAGAAACCATGTGTTGGGTTCCCCCACCCCTAAATAGAGGTGTTACTAGGGGACATCTAGCTTTAGAGAGGAGGTATGAAAACATGGCCATGTATAACTTCCCTATGTGATCCTCCATCAGGTACCTGTGAGAAGCCACTGGCCCAGTTGTTACCAGCTCCTCCACCATGTTCAGACAGATAGATATTTTCAGGATTGTAGAGTTTGGCATAGGGAGAGTTGAGAATGGAGTGGATAACTCGGGGCTCCAGGTCCAGCAGCACAGCCCTTGGGATGTAATGCTCATCATCTGCCTGTCACAGAAAAACAAGACAAAAGAGACCCCCATCATCCAGGACCTGCCTAATCTCTATCCCTTCAATTCCCTTACAGCTCTGTTGTATGCCAGCTACTTTGGACCTCTTGTCCACCTAAAAGGCAGGCACTTTGCTTCCCTCTGGCCAGACACTGTCCTTTCCCCTTTCCTCTCTTATGCCCCTATGCCCACTAGATGCCCAGTTCTCTGTCCCAGTGCACTTGGCCGGGCACCTGATAGAAAAAGACATCCTTTCGGTCAGTGCCTTCAGTAGCAAATTCCTCCACGATGCCCTCCGGACTGATGCCATGCTCAGCGCAGAGCTGTTTCCAGAATTCGAACCCAACTGTGGGTATGACAGAACACCAATATTCCCTAAATGGGCCAATCCCACCTTTGGGCTATGATATAGGAACCCTGTGTCCTGATGGGACCAGTCACTTTCTCCTCCCTCTCCCCACCCCAGACTCCTACCAGGGCTGAGGCGGGATGCTAGTCCTGATGGGATCAGTCACAGCTCCAGGGCTGGGGAACAGGGCATTTGGGTCCTAATAGGATTAGTTACACTCTGGGGGCAAGGGGACAAGGCACCCGGATGCAGGAGGAATGGTTCCCCCCAGGCGTTCGGACTCGGGATTCTCGGGTGGGGGGGGTGGGGCAGATGGGATCGAGACCACTGACGGATGCTGCCTAGGAGGCTCCCAGGGACTTAGGGAGGACCCGACCGATTTCAAAGCGGGCTGGCGGTGGAAATCGGCTAGATGACCAAGGAGCCTGGCTCTCACTCTGGTTGCCGCACTGGCCCAGCTGCAAGGTGATGATCTCCCGCGGCATCCCTCCGTTTCTGGTCTGCCCGAGCCACCGCCCGCGGGGCTGCAGGCCAGCTGCTCGCCGGGCGCATGCGCCGAACCCAGCCGCCCCTCCAGCTGCCTCGTACTGGAAGCGGACGAGCTGGATGAGTTCGAGAGGCCAGGGGAAGACGCAAGGAGACTCACTGCGCATGTGTCAGCCTCTTTTCTCTCTTCCCCCTTTCCTCTCCCCCCATTCTTTCCCTTTCCTGTCTATGGTATATTTGGACCACACCGTAACTATCTCCTGGAAGAGCCAGAATCCACGCAGGCGCACTTAGGAGAGTGTGGCTTCAGGGTCGGCGCCTGCGCAGTAGCGATGGTGGGAATGCCTTGCAGGTGGCCGAGGCTGAAGAGCATTCAGGCCAGACTCTTAGGGTTCGCGGCTCCTACCGGGTAGGTGTAGACGGAGGGACGGAGGTGGAGCCATCGGTACTTGGGGAGGGGGAGGGGGTGGAAGACCTCGAGCCTGGCCTGCCCCAGGGCGTGCGCACCCCTTGAGCTCTGCCCTATCCCTCGGCTCATCGTCTGGGTTCTCTAACCCGGAGCCCAGCTAGACCAAGTCCTGTGTTTTACAGATGGGGAAACTGAGACCCAGGCAGCACAAGTGACCCTCCCCCATCAAGGGCCAAGCATTATAACAGTAATTTCCAAAAGGAAATGTTGTTGGGGATTTCTGCAGCAGAATTAAAGCACTTCAAAAAAAAAGTTAGGATTTCAAAAAAGTTAGCATCGGAACTCAGGTCCGTGGAGTTTGTCAGGTGGATCAACTTCAGAAACGAATGGTTTTGTCAATGAAAATGACACAGTTGTAAATCAAATAGTGATAAAAGCAGGATTTTAAGTTAGTACCTGGAGTTTGTCAGGTGCATTTGCTTCAGAAACAAATCATTTTATCAATGAAAATGACACTATGGAAATTGCATTAAATTATAGATCAAATAATGATAGAGGCAGACTTTGAAATCAGGAGCCTGGAATTTGTCAGATGGATCAACTTCAAAAACACATAAGATTTTTATCAATGGAAATGGCACTGTAGAAGGTACATAACATCTGCATCTGTCTGCCTTGCCCTTGTGCCCTGAGAACCAGAGGACTTTCCCATCTTACTTGGAGCTGGAAACTGCAATATGTATTGTCACATACACCCCTTCCAGGACCCTCCCCCACTAGAATGTGAGCTACTTGAGAACAGAAGGCCCCTCTTTCCTTTCTATTTGTGTTCCCAGCATTTAGTGTTGGGCTTGGCACATTTTTGTACAGCACTTTTAAATTTAGAGAGAGCTTTCCATATGCTAGTCCTGTGCTATATGCTAGTCTATATGCTAATAAGCAATGCATGTATTATCCTCATTTTATCAGTAGAGAGACTGAGAGGTTAAATAACTGCCCCTTACATCGTCCCCTTATCGCCCCCTCCGTAAATTGATAACTACACCGCTTTGGAGGTTTTCCTCTCTTCTTCTTCCTCAGAGATGCAAGTAGAGTGGGCAGTGACATGTTCCAAAGCAAGGAATTTAGAGGGTGCTTATGGTATTTGCTGTTCTTCAGCAGCAGAGGAGCAATTGAACATAGGACCTAATTATCGAGAATAGTTAAAATAGGAAGCTACCAAATGGAAGGTTGGGATTTTATCCCACCCTCTTTCATGCTTTTTTGCAGTTTCTATATTACCAGCCTTGGTTTCAATTTTCAGCTGATCTGCAGAGACAGCATTATAGGATTAGAGTTACAAGGGTCCTTAAAGGTCACATAGTCCAACTCCTTCATTTTATAGACATGGCATTGAGACCAAGAGAGGTTAAATCAGTCAATAAACATTAAGCACCAGCTACATGCTTAGTAGCACATAGTGTACTAGAGTGTGTCGGCGCTGTGCTGAGGGCTGAGGATACAAAGAAAAAAAGTCAGTCCCTGCTTTCCAGGAGTCTATATTCCAATGGGGAGACTGTAAACAATGATGTAAAAATAAGCTCTCTCTCTTTCTCTCTTCCTGTACATGTATATATGTGTGTTCATATGTACACATACATATATATGTCTGTACACACACATAGATGACAAATTGGAAGGGACTAGGATTAAGGGGAAGCAGGAAAGAATTCCTTTAAAAGGTAGGATTTCAGCTAGGACTTGAAGGAAGCCAGGAGGCAGAGGTGAGGATGGAGAGCATTCCAGGCAGGAAGACAGACAGTAAAAATGCCCAGAGGTAAGATATGGGGTAAAGAGAGCTCTGAAGTGGTATGTTAATTAAATTTAGCAAACTCTTAAAAGTTTTTTCTCTTTTATTATGAACTTGACACATGTCAATAAAAATGATCATTTCTCTATACAAAGAACAGAAAAGGTTTATATATGAAACTGTGGGTCTGTATTTTTTAAGCATATAATAAATTGTAGCTTCAAAACTATCCTGTTTGTTTTGGTTACTTTCTGAACTTCCTCATATACTTTCTTCTAAGTATTATTACACTGTTTCAAATGATCTGTTTTTTCTTCTATTGGAATCACAACCTCAAAAAAAGCCTTCCTTTGTAGCAAATAAGGATGTCTGAAAATGGATGTCTTGTTCTGCACATTCTAATCCAGCACTTCTTTGTCACAAGAAGAGAAACATTAAATTTTGGTCTTTTGGAGTTGTGGTTGTTCATTGCATTAATCAGAGTTCTTAAGTCTTTCAAAGGTATTTTCCCTTACAGTGTTGTAGTCATATAACAACTGCTACTTTTCTCTTTAGAGTCCTAGGGGAGGGTCTTAAGGAATATCTTTCTAATTGTTCTCCTGGTTCTGCTCATCTTCCTCTATGTCAGGTCCTAACAGTCTTTCCAGCTTTGTCTGAGCCCATCCCTTTAGTAATTTCTTGTACCATAGTATTCCGTTACATTCATATATCATAATTTGTTTAACCATTGCCCAATTGATGCCCCCTTCCCTGTTTCTAGGTCTTTTCTACATCAAAAAAGTACTGCTATGGATATTTTTGTACATATGAGACCTTTTCTTCTTTCTTTTATCTCTTGCCTAGTCATTGGGTCAAAGGGTATGAAGAGTTTAGTAACTTTTTGGGTATTGTTCCAAATTGCTTTCCAGAATGGCTGGACTGATTTATAGCTCCAGCAACAGAGCATTTGAGTACCTATTCTCCCAAGACCTTCTAACTGCCTTTTTCTTTTTTGTCGTCTTTACCAATCTAATAGATGTGAAGTGCAGCCTCAGAATTGTTTTATTTGCATATCTTATATTATTAGTGACTTGGAGCATTTTTTCATATGGTTGTTGATAGCTTGCCTTTCATTTTTTGAAAACTGCCTGTTCATATCATTTGACCACTTTATCTATTGCGAGATTGCTCTTATTCTTATATACAAACATTTATTAAGCCCCAGGTATGTGCAAGAAAGGCATGGTGCTGGGCATTGGGAATACAAAGATGAATTGAGACATTACCAACCCAAAGGAAGATTATGTAATTTATATATTTCTCTTTGATTTATGTGTGTGTGTGTGTGTGTGTATATATATATATATATACATATATATATAATGTATATGTGATTTAATTATATAATTTGGTGTGAGTAGATAAAGTTTCACTGTTTTCCTTTTAAAATAATCCACAAAAGGGGCAGCTAGGTGGCATAGTAGATAGAGCACTGGTCCTGGAGTCAGGAGAACCTGACTGCAAATCCAACCTCAAACACTTAACACTTACTAGCTGTGTGACTCTGGGCAAGTCATTTAACCCTAATTCCCTCACCAAAAATTAAAAAAAAAATTCACAAAAGAATGACTGAAGGAGGCAGCAAAAGCTAGATGACTGCTTGTCACTTGTGTTACAGAAGGCATTCTTGTTCAGGTACAGGTTGGACTAGATGGCCTCTGAAATCCCTTCCAACATGAAATGCTATGTTTTCTCTCCCAGAATCCTCTGGTTCACTTTGAACTTTATTGTCTTTTTCTCATAATAGTAACAACTCAGATTTGTATAGCACTTTTCAGTTTGTAAGGGGTTTTCCCTATGCCAGCCCTGTGAGGTAAGCAATGTATATATTATCCTCATTACAGATAGTGAGACTGAGAGTTTAAGTAACTGCTCCTTACATCTTCTCCTTATCTTCTTGTCCTTAAGATCATAACTTTTCCCTGCTCTAAGAAGACTAGAAATATTTTTAGTTACAGTTTACAGGCAAAAAAATTTTAAGTAAAATCATGCTGTTTATCATCGTATCCATTTCATCTGCTGCCTGCCATTTGTAAGGTACCGGGGAATACAAAGAAGATGAAAAAGTGTCCTTGTCCTCAAGGATTTTACATTCTACTTGGAAAGGGAAGGACATAAAACACACAAACAGGTGTGTGTATATGTGTGTGGGTGTGTGTGAATGATAATTTGAATACAAAGAGAGAATTCTAACGACTAGGAACAGTAAAGGTTTACCATACCAAGTGGTTTGTTAGTTAAACCTTGAAAGAAACAAGGGATTCTAAAAAACAGAAGTAAAAAAGTTCATTCTTGTCAGGAGGCACAGCCTATATAAAAATATTGAGGTTGAGGGGACAATTTGACTAGAATAAAGGATGAGTGAAGGAGGGTTATGCTCAGCAAGCCTAAAAAGGCAAAGCCAAGCTGGTGGGACATAGTAGATCTAGGGCTGGACTTACAAGTCAGAAAATTCTGAGTTCATTTGCACAAACAAAGCCAATGCAACTAAGATTAGAAGGAAGGTAGAAAATTGGGAAAGAATTTTTACAACCAGTCTTTCTGATAAAGGCCTCATTTCTAGAATATATAGAGAATTAAGAGAGATTTATAAGAACACAAGCCATTCCCCAATTGATAAATGGTCAAAGGATATGAACAGACAGTTCTCAGATGAAGAAATTAAAGCCATCTATAGTCATATAAAAAAATGCTCTAAATCGTTATTGATTAGAGAAATGCAAATCAAAACAACTCTGAGGTACCACATCACACCTATCAGATTGGCCAACATGACAAAACAGGAAAATGATAAATGTTGGAGAGGATGTGGGAAAATTGGAACACTAATACATTGTTGGTGGAGTTGTGAAACGATCCAACCGTTTTGGAGAGCAATTTGGAACTATGCCCAAAGGGCTACAAAAATGTGCATACCCTTTGATCCAGCAATAGCACTTCTAGGGCTATATCCCAAAGAGATCAAACAAATGGGAAAAGGACCCATATGTACAAAAATATACATAGCAGCTCTTTTTGTGG